TTGCGTGTTTTTTTTCAGCATTTCATCAAGTTTTTCTCTCTTGTATTGCAGGTGTCCCCATACATACGCTTCCTTTTTAAAGGCAAAGTGATTATTTCCCAAAATACTAAGAGTATCTTGTAGCAGGAGAAACTCCCTTGGAGTTTTAAATTAAGAAATGTATTCTAAAAAGCAATTTACTAATCACAAAATTAACCGTTTGTCCAGCCTGTAAATACTGTTAGAGGCAATTCTGAACTGCCCAAAACCATTATCCAGACACATGTTCAGTGTGAGCTGCACAGTATTTCTCTCTGTGCATTGTTCTGCCATCAGCTTCAGAGGCATTGGTGGACAAACCACACATGACAAAACAAGCTGGTTCTGACCATCATCCAAAACCACCAGAGCCACTCTGTTAACCATTTGCTAAATTAACTAGTTAACAACAGAAGTACCACATTGCTCTTGTGCATTAACTTTCTCAAGGCTTCCAATTCTAACATTATTAACCACAAACCAGTGAGAATACTGGTGGTGTTGAAAGAGCAGGCTGTTCCTGCTAATCCTATGCTTGCATTCAACACCAAGCACAACTGGTCCCCTGAAAACGAGAAAGTTAGTTTACAGGCAATCACAAATGAAATTCACTTTCTTGTCTGAAATGAATGGATGGCTGATACCACAAATGTGCTCTTAGCAATGAGAAGCATTAGTGCATTAAAATAACATCGATTGAATGGTGCAAATTAGGAATAAGGAAGTAAATTTTAGGGGATTTATTAAAACAGAGGTTACAGTAGACAGGGTATTAGTAGTTTTCACAGAGGAAGGGACTACAGAGACTTTTAAGATGAGATCAGGTAAACTAGACGCAAAATGAGATCACTTTTTTCCCCTCTTCCTGCTTACACCACACAAAGCCATCGAAGTATCAGAACTGCTGAATTAACTATTCTAAAAGCACGGAAACGCTGAAGATAAAGATGTTGGGGCCACACCTTGGGTGAAAGCATTACAGTGTAAAACGCAAAGACACAAAACAGGATGCTGAGGCAACCAAGAGATGAAACACAGTGAATCGTTTGGGACGGGGCAGAACAGGAAGCCGGAGTCTCACAACTGTTATTGCAGTAAAGTCTCCTCAAACAGGAAGGCTGCTGGAATTTCACATTGTTCTTTGACTATGTCACAGGATGGTCATACAAGTTTCTGCTCTTATCAAGGAAAAGGAGACATTTCTGTGTCTGGGGGTCTGATGTCATCTCATGTTCTGTTTCAGTGCAAGTTCACAAAATTTCACATTAATTTCTAAAGCTTTGGAAGTAACTAAATGGACTCTGCATCCACACTGACCCATTTCACAGATGGTCGGAACACACAGCTCATACCTAAAACAGTATGTTAATTAAAATTCTGCAAAACAAGATTACTTAAGCCTGCCCCAGTTCTTCAGAGTTTTATGTACATATTTAGTTTCATAAAGGCAGAATGAATTATTCAAAGTAGAAACATCTGCAAAGCTTCACCAGATTAGCGATTTAAGCGCAAGTCCTGCCAGGAAGCAGAAGTGGCTGGCTCCCTTTGCTAGTGCTCAGCTATGCCAGCTGCATTTGCAGAAGATGGGCAAAATCATTCATTTTAGATGCACAAAGACATTCAAGGGGGTTAGCCTGGAACAGCCAACTGCTTCCATGTAAAAGAGGTATACAGCCTTAGAAAAGCAAGAGCCTTCATAAGCTCCTTGTTGGACATAACGTGTTACTCCTTACCCCATTTATCTTCACAACAGCAGTCCTGATTGGTGGTGGAGGAAGAATGTTTCTCTTTGCAAAGACAAAGATTTACGCTTCCAAGGATGCGGAAGGACAAGCTAAACATCACTGTATTTTGGCCAAGCCAAGGATATCACTGGGCTTTTATCAGCTTCGGCCCTTCAAGACATGACCCACGCATCTGTGTGAGTGTGAAGTATCTCACAACATAGAAATAAGAACCAGAACTGTGTGCCAACCTTGATTCCAAATAACACTGATCTATCAAGAAATCCTTCTTCACTACTAATCATCATAAAATGCATTCTGTGATGCTGGAGTGTTAGAGAAGTCCCCAAGTAAGGAAATACAGAACAAGGATCAATGCTAGAAGCCAGCAAAGTACCCCCGATAACATCTCCATAATGTTGAACCCAGTTATATGGACACTGTGGTATTTAACATGCATATTTTCCACTGAGCTGCCGTCTGTGTGCCAGGGATGCTACCACGATAGCCTGCAACAGCAGATCACTAGATCTAAGCTTCAGTGACCTCTCACGAACTTGTTTCTTAATCTGGCATCGCTTCTGCATCTTCAACAATTTCTACACAAACATTTACATGTCTTGTAAGCCCCACCACTTATTTTTCCTTTTCTTAAAACCTTTAGCATCCTTCTTTCTCCTATCTCCTTACATTCCCTCATCTATTTCAGCAAAGATTTGGGGTACTCAGAGCAATTGAAAACTTTATTTAATCGTCAAAGCTACATTTGGAGTTGATCTGCAGTAGCAAATGTGGGAACAAAAGTGCAACGTTTGGAAATATCTCACACAATCAGAGACTTCGGGTTTGGTTCTTAATTCCATGGATTATGAAAAGGTGGCCTGCATTTTCAAAATAACTAGATTCTTGGCCTGGCCTTGGGCTCTACCAGTTTTTTTCTCCACATGCAAGATCTTAGCCTCCCAACAGGAACCCACAGCCTTTTTGCAATTGCAAAATGAGGCTTCTCTTTCTCATAGGAGTCTAAAACTGAGCTGTGAGTCTGCTGGGATCCCTACACTTGACATTTCAGCTATGCTCCACTGCGTCCAAGCACCCAGCTTCACACACAGAGTTGCTTCACTGTTTTGCCTGCAGGCAGCCAAAAGAATTCATGAAAACACTTTCCTTATGTAGTCCTGTTTTCCAAGTATATTTTGTGGAAATAAGGACAAACAACTAGACTGCTGCACTTCTTCTGCTTTACTTTCTTCAGCTCTCTTTCCCTTCCTTTATATTCCATTTTTCTTCTTTTGTGCCAGCTCGGGACTGGAGAAGCTCCACAAATCAAGCTGTCTAATCAGCACTGGCTGCAGGGCAGGTATGTGAGAAATGCAGATTCTGACAGGGCAGGCTCCTTTTCCGTGTAAACACCACAAGTGACAGGTGAGATGAAGGCATTGCAAAAGCAGCACTCTTTCTGTTTCCACTTGTTAATACGCCCACTAAAGAACAACAGCATGTTAGCAGATACATAACTCAAAATTACTGTTTTAGAAATCACTACAGTTTGAAGAACTGATCTCACATTGCTCCAGCTTCATACCTTAGAAAACCTCAGCCTGACCCACATGGCAGATTAGAGAAGTATTTGTTCAAGCCTGGCATTGCTCTGTTCTTTCAAGCGCTCATGCAGAACCACTGTTGCCCGACAGAGTTCAAAGATTCAGTGCACGCAATGCAACAGCTGTGTTTTGTTCAAGAGCAATTTAGCCAAAGCACAACTAAGTAATGCAATGATCAACCGGGTCTTTTTCAACTGCAGCTGAAAAACCTCTTTTCTTTTTTTTTCTTTTCATGCATTTCTCATCTTTAAGTTTAGGCACACCATTTAAGTGAATGATGTTATGCCCAGGAGCATCTCTGTAACACAAAGCACAGAACTAAGTTGATTTTTTAAAGGCAACTTAATTAAAGCAATTTAATTTGAAATCACCCATACGCTTTCGACAATAACAAAAACAACACCAAAAACTATTCAGTGTTCATAAACTCACTGGATAGTAGCTAGATAGAGGTCATTCAAACCAGTTTTCCAGCTTTTTATCAAATTCCTCTAATAAGGAGGCAACCTTCAGCACATACCTAAACAGAACCAGCCTCCCTTAACTCCGTCTTCACTAGCCACCCCCAGCACAACAGCACAAAGTCAGCTCTCCACTTGGATTATTTTAGACCATCTGCAATCCCTGTTCTTGACTCCTAACACACACATTAATGAAACAGATTGTGGTAGGAACTTTATAAGCCCCAGAACTCCCAGGCCACACAGCCCAAGTGCTTCAGGAAGCAGAGGCAGTGTCAGGAGACATGGGATTAGAGCAAGACAACTTGTTCCTGTGAAGCACCAACTTGCCACAAGCAGTAAGTCACATCCCAATTCTTAGCAGTCTTAGAGAAGAAGTCTAAACAGGTAAGGATATAGATATCTCTGCTGAGATCAGGAGATGACAGAAACACCACTGAGAGAAGAGCTGTGTTTTCCAGGGGTGTTGTGACTACACTCTTGAAGTTTGGAGAAAACATCCACTTCAGAAACACACGCAGGCACGTCCTGCTCACCAGGACAACTCAAGAGGGCCGGGAAGCCAAATCCTTTTCTGGCTGGCTCGCTTCTTAGCCTGACAGCCCTGCAAGGCAGGTTGCAGCTCACTGACTGCCTCCCTCCCTCCCCAGACTTTTAAGTAGACCCACACAGATGCCCTTAGGGACTTGAATTCAAACTATTGGCACTTTACCACACGAATCGCCCTATCACGCTAATTGCAGGATTGTAATTTAATCTCTCATGCACCAAGAGCGAGAGAGAAATGTTTTCAAGAGCACACAAACATTACTATAAAAGCACAGAGCTCGGCAGGAGGCCTGTGACAGAAACGCGCTATTGAAAGCTTCGCTTTCAGGAGAATACCCGCAAAAAAAAACAACTAAGAAGGGGGAAATAAATAACAACAATGAAAAAAGCCAGAATTCCTTGGGAGACGTGGAGCAGCGCTCCCCGGGCAGCCCAGGCACGGCGAGGCCCGCGGGCCCGGCGGCGCTGGGAAGTCTCCTCAGGAGGAGGCACCTCCCGCCGCCTGCACCTGCTCCAGCCCCGCACAGCGCCCGCGGGCCCGGCCCGCTCCCCTCAGCGGCCCCGCGCCCCGCTGTCAGCGCGGCGCCGCCCTCGAGGGGAGGCCGAGGGCAGCCCCCTGCCCGCCCGCACCGCCGGGCTCTCACCTGTCGCCCAGGAGGCTCCTCGCCCGCTCGGCCAGGGCGCCCGGCACCTCGGCCTTGCTGAGGGCGCCGCTCCCCGTCGAGCTCCACGGCAGCGGCTCCCCCGGGCCCAGTGGAGACGGGAAGTCTTTCAGGAAAGAGCTCAGGGGAGCCCCGGTCGCCTCCACCTCCAGCGCCATGACGGCGCCGCGCTGAGGCGCCCTGCCCGGCCGCCACCGCCGCCTCGCCGGGAGCGGGACAGGCGCCGGCGGGGACGGGCGGTACGAAGGGGCCGGCCGGGGAGGGGAACGCGAGGGGAAGAGGGCGCGGTGACGGCTCCTTTAAGCGGAGCGCAGGGGCGGGGTCAGCCGGGGGAGGCGGGGCCAGAAACAATGCCTGGAATGCGGGGGCGGGGCAAGCACGTGGCCGGAAGGCGGGGCGGGAGCGGGGACCCTGCCCCAGCGGGCCCGGAGCCCGCCGCAGGGAGGGGACAGGCGGCAGCGCCCGCCCGCGGGCAGCCCTTGTCCCGCTCCTTCCCCTCCCTCCCGCAGGACCTAAGGCGCAGCGTTCGGACAGACCCGTGCTGCCCGGGGACGCCTTTTCACCGAGCGCTGTCGGGCTCAGCAGTCACCCGGCTGAACGGTTTTCATCCTAACATCCCAACTGACTCCACATCGGATTAGGTTTACACGCTCTGACAGGCCACACACAGAAACAGGTGCGGCTGGAACTGCGCACAGGTTAGGGCTTCACCCAAGAGACAATCCCCCCCCAGTCTTGTTACTCGCAATCCCTTTTTGTTTCCATTCACACCAAAATGCCCATTAAAAAAGGCTTCAGAAGACCCGAGGTAGCCGTGGCAGGATTTTGCTATGCGTAAATCATTGCAAAAAACCTGTGCTAGCTTTCAAAGCCTTATCACAGGCATAAATGCAAGACACCATCACTTCCATAGATATACTAAAAGTATAGTGAGGTCAGAGAGAACCATATAGGAGGCTGACCGGTTTGTCAAATAACCATGTCTATCAATAAGCTATAACCTTTCCTTGCTCATTTAAGAGCACCTCTAGCTTAGAAAAGGAAGTGCATCAGTAAATTAGATTGAATTATCTTTGTCCTATTCTGAAATCTTCCAAAGAAAGATTAAATGGAAATCCTGAACCCTAGACACACAAAAAGAATACAATACCAAACCCTGCAGTGAGGTTAGTAGGCCACAGACACCCAGAATACTTGCACTCACCTCACTCCTAGATCGTTTGGGTATTTAACAGCATATCAACCAAATCCCTTTCTTCTTGCCTCACACCAAGCTGTGTTTCTAAACCATTAAAGTTAAGAAGGTTCATAGCCCACCTCTTTCCTTTGTATTCCCATGCTAAACTACAGCAGCCTGTCTCCTGCAACATCCCTGCCATGATCAATCCCCCAACCCAAAAGTTGTTTTTAAATAGTGAAATGATTTACAGCATTCTGAGGACACTAAAGCAAGATGGACCTTTAGAACGAGAAGCAGCTACTCAGGCTAAGGGAGACACAGAAAGAACACAGTATTTAGGAAACAAACCCAAACAAACTTCTGCCTATGGCTGGGTCTTTTAAGCAATACCATTACAACATAGCTCACGTTTGAGCTGTAACTGTATAAACATTTGATCAGAGGAACAAGCTCGGGGCTGTGGTGTTTCATCTGTGTTCAGCAAATGCAAACACTGTGCCAGTTAAAACAGCAGAGCTGTACATTACCTTTTGTAGGGACTTGTCTTTCCTCTCTGTTGCCAGTGAATCACGTGTCAAAGTTGCTCTCTGCATATTCTGTGTTTGCATGCAGTAGCCTTTGCACCGTGTAAAACTGCTGTGGCATCCCCCCGTCCAACCACAACTAGTGCTGTTTTGGGGCTGTAGATGATACAAACTGTACTTGACCAGATGACCAGACAAGATCAGCTATGTGCACATGGAAGGAAAGGAGAGAGTATTACAGATCCATACAGTTAAGAGTTCATAATGTGGGACCCCGTGCCACAGTGGTTAGATACAGCTCCATACAAAAACAAGAGGACACAATCACCAAAATGAGTTTGGGATATAGAGTGTACAAACTATTTGATCATGTATGATCAGCTGTGTGAACACAGAGGAAAAGAAGCTCATGGGTGCTCTACCTGCCCTCCAGCTGCTGAGGGAGACCTTACTTAACAGGGGCCCACTGACCAAAAGATACTAATTTGGCTGCACAGAACATAACTTGGGAATCACTGCTCAAGGCAGATATAAAACGGAAGGCATAAATGTGAGTATGTTTCTTGTCATTACTCTCTTATGCAGCAGAGAGACAGGTCTGGAATGGTGCTCTTACTACTGCAGATGTGATTTAAAAATCTGACAGCTACTAACCATTTATCATTTCTGAAGATTCAAAGTCAAATGAAACAGGACTCATTCCATACCTAAAGACTACAGCAGTGTAGTAGTGATTTTAATCACCTCTTATATTCCTGGCACTTGAACTGTTGACAACAGCCTCAGAATTTATGAAAGAGGAAAATTTCATTTTCTTTCTATCAACCACAGGTAACAATCTAGCTTCCCTACTGTTTGTGAGCTCTACTTGGACCAATGAATTCCAATTAAAAGCTTAAAGGCTTACTCAGTTATAAACTGATCATCCAGAAGAATTTGTTTTGTGATTAAGTCAAAGCATACAACAACATAAGGTGTTTAACTTTTCTGAGAACACAAAAGCACTGAAGATCAAAAATACTTTAAAATGAACTGAAAGGGAAACAAATTTTTATAAGAAGTTTATTTTTCTGTTGTGTGCCCATTATACAAAGTAAGCAGCCAGAGCTGCCATTTTGTCCTTGGGTTTCTTTGGATTGAGCCTTCCTCCAGGCCTCCGGCCTTTACCTCTTCCTCGGCCTTGCCTTTTTCCTTGTCCCCCACGGTGCATGGGGTGCCTCATGGCTGCATGCTTCAGCTCCACCAGATCTTGAAACACGGGATCACAGAACACACAGCCTGAATGCTGGGTCTCACCCCCAGGTAAAGGAGATTTGGCTTTGTTAAAATCGACGTCCACAAGGGCTGCATCGCACAAGTCGCAGGTCTCTGGCGACACTCGGACCTTGTGGGCATTCTCAAAGAAGTGCACAATCACATTGCATTTGTTGCAGGCCATCTTCCACTTGGGACCTGACGTTGAGTCCAGCACCAGAACCCCATTCTCACATTCAACGCACTGCCCAATTCCAAGCATGCTGAGAGAATGCTGGCACGTGGGGTGCGTGCATTCATTACAGCCCATTCCTGGTGGAAGAAGAGTAAAACCATACCACCAGAAAGCCTTTATATCACTACCCACAGGACTCAGTTTGGAGGAAGTGAGACACAGAAGTCAGAGACAGCTTAGTATACTACAGGTTTTCTAAATCACTAAAGAATGGAACGACTCCCCAAATGCCAACTTGCCTTTTCAGAATATTCCCTTGCTCAAAATTTCTTCTGTAGTTGATTTCAGAATTGAGAGATACTGCCACTGTACAGCCAGTTTGGACATGTTAGTGATCAAAACTAACTATGTTTTCAATTGAAATGTATGGCTCCTAACTGCTATTTCATACTTGCCCATACACTGTTAGTACAAGACATTTTTAATTAAGAAAAATGGTAATAAAAAAAATGCCATAAAGCTCCTGGTACTCAGCTTCAAAAACTATACTAAGTAAGTTACCAAACTGCAACGTTGGAAACTGGTCTCAGTTACCAAACTGCAACTTTCACCCCTTCTTGTATCCTTCAACAGCTTTTTACACACCATCTACCTCAGTATCAAAACACTCTCAAGACCTGGTCCTACAGTCCTATCCATAGCAAGCATACTCCAATTTGCAAAGTATCAGAATCCCAGTGTCTTTCACTGCAAGCCAAGTGTTACAAAGGTCACCTCCTGTGCATGCACATAAATTAATTTCTTACTCCTTTTATAATGAGAAAGAATAAGTATTCAGAAGTGAGTTAACAAATTTTGATCAGTAAGTTTGAGGTGAGTTTTAGGTATCTGCCACCTAATTTGAACAGTGCTTTATACTAAGCAACACTGATTAAAAATTACTGTATAGACTGCATCTAATCTATTTCAAGGGAGGTCATTCCCTGCATGTTTACATAATTCCTACCTTTTTTCATGTCCCTGAAGGGAGGATGGTTGTAACAGTATGGACACAGTGGGTAGCTCTTTCCTCTGGATCCAGATGACCACAGCACCAGCTCAAAGTCATCTAATGGGCAACGCAACTCTTTGTAGAGTTTAATGGTACCATTCTGTGGGAGACTGTAGGTGTCATCACAGTGGGAGCAGTGCAGACGACTTGGCTTGGCCTGGAAATAGAATATAAGTCCCCTGAACAACTGCAATGTCAATAAGGTTCAAAACTTCCAGTAAATCCCAGTGGGGCTGCTTATTGGTTTGTTCCCCATGGAAAAGCTTCACTGGGTTTTTTGTTTTAGAAATGCCCTCTTGACAACCACATTTGAATCCAAATTCAATAATAGAAAGGCGGTTTCTATTCAGTGCCCCCAGCAAGTGAAATTTAAACTCCAAGCATGAGGTGAAGTTACCTGAATATACTTCATGAAGCGATGGCATTTACCACAGCGGGAAAGTGGTTTACCAGTGGCAGCTAATGGTGAAAAAGACACTTCCATCAGTTCATCCATACCTGTGAAAGAGAGAATCACATTCATCTTGGAATTTTCATTCTTATGAGGAAACCTTGCACAAAAATCATCTACAAAACCTGCGAAGTGAGAATATTTTATTCACAATGCTTTCCCTTGTTTACAAAGACTTTTAAATACACTGTGTTTTGCACTGAGCATGCACAAACACACGGGTTAATTATTTCAGCTACCCTGAAGTTTTCAACAACTCAAAACTACACATCACAAAAACTACACATCACAAAATAAATCTGAAGTAGAGTTTGGAGCCATAATTCAGTCCATTTCCTTTTGGAGAGCCACTTAATTTAACTGGATACTTCCAGTTCTGACAGAACTTTTCAGTAAGCCTAAACCTCTGAAAGCAATCTAATATATAAGTATTTTGTACTAGCATATTTGCAACGATTAAGTAATTGTAGGTAAAGTTTTACCTGCAATAGAATCCACAAAATAGTGGAATTTCCTTTTGAAAATGTCAAGGGTATGCTCCAGGACCTGATGATAATTTGCTTTACCCAGAGCTATTAAGTTGAGCTGCTTCTCCACAGCACTGCGGATTGTAGGAAGAACCAATTCTGCATCTAACAGAAAATCAGA